AGTTCCTTTGGACTCAGTGGGGCTTGCTTCTGAGTAGGCATGTAAGCACTGCACTGCATAGCTATGCACCCCTTTGTGGGAATAAGCCTAATTAAATTCAGTAGACATCTTCTGTGTCATGTGTGAGATCAAACTATATAGGCAAGTTCCAGAATTCAGTGATAAAGCTTTTCCTGAAGCTTTTACTTATTAGCGGCAGATGAGGGTTGCATCTTAACACAGGGGGCAGCCCCTTGGAGGGACCCTTTGCACACTGAAAACTGGCCTGTCAGGGAGAAGGGCTCAGGTAGCCTTTCTCCTAGCATGCCATTTTCCAACCCAGATATGTGTTATACTCCAGGAAAATCCTTAACCCTTGAGTCTTTTGATTTGAAGCAAGATTTACTGCTTGATTCTTAAATTTATAAACAATGCTGCTTCCATTCACAACTGATTGCCAGTGTATCACTCATAATCCCTTGGTGAAAATAAAATCTGTAAGAGTCTTGTTCACTTTCTGCCTTTTCCAGATTATAAAATAAACTTGCAGGATGGGAGCAGTCTCCTTACAGACTGGGATCAGGGCTCAGGTGAGGGGTAGGAATGTAAGTCTGCATAGAAGATATGCTGTGATTTTCATAGATTTGGGTTTGGTAAGCTTTCATTGTGGTACTGTATATGTATCTTATATTTCATAGGATAGTATAGAATATTTAGATAGTATTGCTGTTGTTAGTCATGAAGTCATGTCTGACTCATCGAGACCCCATGGACAACATTCCTCCAGGCCTTCCTGTCCTCCACCATCCCCCGGAGTCCACTCAAGCTCACACCGACAGCTTCAGTGACTCCATCCAGCCACCTCATTCTCTGCCGCCCCCTTCTTCTTTTGCCATCAATTGTTCCCAACATTAGGCTCTTCTCCAGGGAGTCCTTCCTTCTCATTAGGTGGCCAGAGTATTTGAGTTTCATCTTCAGTATCTGGCCTTCTGAAGAGCAGTCAGAATTGATCTCCTCTACGACTGACCAGTTTGATTGCCTTGCAGTCCAAGGGACTTGCAGGACTCTCCTCCAGCACCACAATTCAAAGGCCTCAATTCTTCGGCACTCAGCCTTCCTTATGGTCCAACTTTCACAGCCATACATTGCAACTGGGAAAACCATAGCCTTGACTATACGCACTTTTGTTGGTAGGGTGATGTCTCTGCTTTTTAGTATGCTGTCTAAATTTGCCATAGCTTTCCTTCCCAGGAGCAAGCGTCTTTTAATTTCTTGGCTGCAGTCCCCATCTGCGGTGATCATGGAGCCCAGAAAAATAAAACCTGTCACTACCTCCATTTCTTCCCCATCTATTTGCCAGGAAGTGAGAGGGCCAGATGCCATGATCTTAGTTTTCTTAATGTCGAGTTTCAAGCCAACTTTTGCGTTCTCCTCCTTCACCCACATCAAGAGGTTCTTTAGTTCCTCTTCACTTTCTGCCATTAGAGTGGTATCATCTGCATATCTGAGGTTGTTGATATTTCTCCCAGCAATCTTAATTCCAACTGGTGATTCATCTAGCCCCGCCTTTCTCATGATGTGCTCTGCATATAAGTTAAATAGGCAGGGCGCCAGTATACAGCCTTGCCGAACTCCTTTCTCAATTTTGAACCAATCAGTAGTTCCGTGTCCAGTTCTCACTGTTGCTTCTTGACCTACATATAGGTTTCTCAAGAGACAAATAAGATGGCCTGGTACTCCCATCTCTTTAAGAACTTGCCACAATTTGTTGTGATCCACACAATCAAAGGCTTTAGCATAGTCAATGAAGCAGAGGTAGATTTTTTTGTGGAACTCCCTAGCTTTCTCCATGATCCAACGTAAGTTGGCAATTTGATCTCTAGTTCCTCTCCCTCTTCGAAATCCTGCCTGTACTTCTGGTAGTTCTCGGTCCACATACTGCTGGAGCCTAGCTTGTAGGATTTTGAGCATCACTTTGCTAGCATGTGAAATGAGTGCAACGGTGCGGTAGTTTGACCATTCTTTGGCATTGCCCTTCTTTGGGATGGGAATGTAAACTGACCTTTTCCAATCCTGTGGCCACTGTTGAGTTTTCCAAATTTGCTGGCATATTGAGTGTAGTACTTTTACTGCATCATCTTTTATGATTTTGAATAGCTCAGCTGGAATACTGTCACCTCCACTAGCTTTGTTGTTGCTCAGATTTCCTAAGGCCCCTTTGACTTCACATTCCAGGGTGTCTGGCTCGAGGTCAGTGACCAGCCCATCGTTGTTATCAGGGACGTTAAGCCCTTTCTTGTATAGTTCCTCTGTGTAATCTTGCCTCTTCTTAATCTCTTCTGCCTCTGTTAGGTCCCTGACATTTTTGTCCTTTATCATGCCCATCTTTGCATGAAATGTTCCCTTCATATCTCCAATTTTCTTGAAGAGATCTCTGGTCCCCTCTATTCTATTGTTTTCTTCTATTTCTTTGCACTGTTCATTTAAGAAGGCATTCTTATCTCTTCTAGATATTCTCTGGAATTCTGCATTCAATTGTTTGTATATTTCTCTTTCTCCCTTGTCTTTTGCTTCCATTCTTTCCTCAGCTATTTGTAAAGCTTCCTCAGACAGCCATTTTGCTTTCTTGCATTTCTTTTTCTTTGGGATGGTTTTAGTTACTACTTCTTGTACAATGTTGCAAACCTCCACCCATAGTTCTTCAGGCACTCTATCAGATATAATTCCTTAAATCTATTTGTCCCCTCTACTGTATATTCATTAGGGATATGATTTAGGTCATACCTGAGTGGCCTAGTGCTTTTCCCTACTTTCTTCAATTTAAGCCTAAATTTTGCAACAAGAAGCTCATGATCTGAGCCACAGTCAGCTCCTGGTCTAGTTTTTACTGACTGAATAGAGCTTCTCCATCTTTGGCTGCAGAGAACATAGTCGATCTGATTTCTGTGTTGACCGTCTGGTGATGTCCATGTGTAGAGTCGTCTCTAGGGTTGTTGGAAAAGAGTGTTTGCTATGACCATTGTATTCTCTTGGCAAAATTTTACCAGCCTGTGCCCTGCTTCATTTTGTACTCCAAGGCCAAACCTGCCTGTTATTCCAGTTATCTTTTGGCTTCCTCCTTTAGCATTCCAATCCCCCATGATGATAAGGACATCATTTCTTGGTGTTAATTCTAGAAGGTGTTGTAGGCCTTCATAGAACCTGTCAACTTCAGCCTCTTCAGCACCAGCGGTAGGGGCACAGACTTGAACTACTGTGATGTTGAATGGTTTTCCTTGGATATGAACTGAGATCATTCTGTCATTCTGGAGATTGTATCCCAGTACAGCTTTTCCTGCTTTTTTTTTTTTTTTGACTATGAAGGCTACTCCATTTCTTCTGAGGGATTCTTGCCCGTAGTAGTATACCTGATGGTCATCTGAATTAAATTCACCCATTCCTGTCCATTTTAGTTCACTGATTCCTAAGATGTCAATGTTCAGTCTTGTCATCTCTTGTTTGACCACATCCAGCTTGCCTTGATTCATGGATCTTACATTTGCTTCTAGTACTAGCCCTCTGCTCTTCCCCAGTAGCATTTTGGACACCTTCTGACCTGAGGGGCTCGTCTTCCAGCGTCATATCTTTTTGCCTTTTGGTACTGTCCATGGGGTTTTCATGGCAAAGATACTGGAGCGGCTTGCCATTTCCTTCTCCAGTGGATCACGTTTTGTCAGAGCTCTCTGCTATGACCTGTCCGTCTTGGGTGGCCCTGCATGGCATAACTCATAGCTTCATTGAGCTACACAAGCCCCTTCGCCATGACAAGGCAGTGATCCATGAAGGAGTTAGATAGTATAGATAGTGCAAAAGAGGGGCAGGAAAAAAAAGAAAGAAAACTTTTAAATGTTTACCATAGTTTGCCATTTCTGCAAAAGACACAAATTGATAAGGTTTTCCAGTCAGCAAACTCCCACTATTGTGGAATAAAGTTATTTAGCTCCAACCCTTGCTTACTTAGCAACATATGATTAGTAAACAGTGGAACTCTGTGCTTTTCTAAACCTGCATCTTGTATAGTGCTCCATCCCAGAAATAGTTTCCTGTCATGACTACAGCATACTAGTCTGCTGTAGTTTGCAGATTCTCAAAATATTTACTGCCTCCTGTTTGATATGGGCCAGTGTATTCTACAGGGCTGTTTTGAGTGGCAGCTGAAAAAATTAGGAAGTCTCTTGTCATGAAAATTCCAATATTAATAGTCATGAAGACCTTTATTAACATATTCTGTGAGTAGGTTGTTCAAGCCATCCCCAAGTTCACTTGCTTCTGCATGTTTTTTGTCTCTCTCCTCTCCAGCCATGAGTGGGTTCTTCCACATTAGTGAAGGAAAATAGTTGATTGATTGGCTACCCTAAATCCGCATCAGTGCAGAAAAGACGATGGCCCACCAGCGTGGTTTTGTGCATGTTTACTCGAAGAAACGCCGGATTGAGTTACCTGAAAGAATGCATAGGATTATACCCTTACATTGTTCCAGATTATGGTTAAAGTCTTTATTATGGAGTCATCGCGCTCTTTAAACCAAGCTAAGTTTTAGACAGGTCGAAGATTGCACCTTTAGCCTCCAACAAAATAATAAAAAACCTCCCACGCCGTCGTTATTGGAATAACAAAGAATGCAGCTGCTAGCGGAAGTTAGCTTGCCTGCAAGCGGCACTGGGCAAGAGCTGGCACCGGAGGCCGCGGCTGCGGCTGCCACCTCAGACCTCTCGGCCCACCTGCCGCCCACGGCTGTCACCCTTCCCGTCTGATGCAACCACCACAACACAACCACGTGGCCACCATCAGCTGTTTCCACCGCCTCGGCCAATCGCGGCCGGCCCTGTTGGCGTCGTGGGCGCGGCCTGGGAGGGCTGGCCCCTTCTCGTGACACAAGGCCTGCACCCAGCCGCCGCGGGGACAGGACGAGGCGGCCAGTTCGAATCCGCGCCACCCAATCGGAGAGCTCGGCGAGGCAGATGGCTCCACCCCCGGGCCGGCGGTGGCTAGGAGACTTCTTGTCGCTTCTGTTGTGGTCCGGAGCTGGGGCGCTGCTCGGCCCGGGGAGCGAAGGCCGGCTGAGGACAGCGAGCCCCGGGCCGCGGGGCGGGGAGGCCAGAGCGAGGCCGGGGCTTCGGCGCTAACCGCGGCCCATGGAGGCCGCCGGCGGAGCGGGGGAGCCGGAGGCGCTGACCTGCTTCTCCTACAATCAGGACTGCACGTACGTTTATACCTATCTAAACCTGTTTAATATGTGCTTTTACATTTTGTAATATAAACTTTTAATGATGTTTTATGTTTTTATACAAGGTATATTTTACTGGGTTTTTTTTAATGTGCTTTGTGTACCGCCCAGAGCTGTTGGGAGGTATAGAAATTAAATAAATAAATACGTAAGGTGGGGGCAGGACCAAGCAGTGTCAGCTCCTCTGCCCGTCCTTCTCTCCCTCCGCCTTCTGGCAAGGAGCACAGCCCACGAAAGAAAGCCGCCCTCCTCTCCAGGCAGCCCCATGCTGGAGGGAATCAGGTTTTGGGAGGAGAAAACGGGTGGGGATATGTAAGGCTAACCGAAAGAGTCTGGGCTGGAGAAGGGATGGTGTGGGCGATCCAGAGAACTGTAAACAAAATTAATTGGCCGCTGCTTTAGGTTGCGAATCTACAGAAGACCAAACACTATTTGAGTTCTTAATGCACTGGAGCAGGGTCTCATTGCCTAGTGCATTAAAACCAGCGCGATACGCGTTTTGTACTGTGGAGCAGCCTTCATTAACTTGGTGCCCTCCAGATGTGTGGGAGTACAACTCCCAGCATCCCTTAGCCCGCCATCCCACATATCTGGAGGCCACCAGGTTGAGGAAGACTGCTGTAGGGATTAGTGTAGCTAATGGGGTTTTCTGTATCCCTGTCCTTCCCACAGTATATGGAGTGTAACTTAGCCCTTTGAGTTCACCTTACTTCTTCTTTTTCTGTATGAGCTGGCCTTCCACTATCTTATGAATAGGTCAACATTTTCAGAAATCTGAGTCCACCAACCTCAAAGGCCCTGTGTTTTCCTTTCATTACTCTCCAGCTTTAAATGTTGGCTGCAGTGTGTTATGTCCTAATTTTCTTCTTCGCTTCTGTCCTGTGGTTACCTTTTCTAGCTTATGCTGTGAATGCAATGTCAAGGGAAGGGAAGGGAAGCCTTGTTTAAGAGGAAATGTTGTCATGGTGTGCTCATAAGTTAAACGCTAAGTGTCTTCTAGTTGATGTCTTAAAAATCTAATTGCAAAGATGCCTCTAAAATAACTGTAATGGACACCTATTGGATAAAGGAGGCATTAAACAAAGACATTATTTAATCTAAAATATACTTATTTTGTATTTTTATAAAGAACAGGCAGTACATTTTATAAATAAAAGGAATAATAACTTTAATTTACAATCTGCTCCTCTGAGCTAAAGCTCTTGTGGTTCTGGTAACATAATGCAGCATAATAAAACTGTGCTCCTGCTTTTAACCTGGAATGTGAGGTGGTTGCATATATTTATTTATTTATTTTATTTATATTGCTATCTATATCCTGCCTTTTTCCTACAAAGGGCTCAAGGCAGCTTACATCATCTCTCCTCCTCCATCTTATCCCCACAACAACAACTCTGTGAGGTAGGTTGGGCTGAGAGTCTGTGACTGGCCCAAAGTCACCCAGTTGGCTCCATGGCTGAGCGGGGACTAGAACCCAGATCCTCTGAGTTCCAGTCCCATGCTTTTAACCACTACACCACACTGGCTCAAACACTAATTTAAGTACATGTTTAAAGACAACTTCTTTTTAGTAGTACATTTCTATACAGCCCATAACACTGGGTGGTTCACAACATTTTAAGTCACCCATCCAGATTTCAACCAGGCCTGATTCTACTTAGCTTCCCAGATTAGGCAGGACCAAGCACTTCAGGCTATTTCAGAAGCAAGCTGTGAAAATGCACAACTTTCTGTAAAAAAACAGATAAAAAACATCAACATAGGTACTACTTTGCTCATAATAGGTCAGGAACATGCTAAAACTTAAAGACATGCTTGGTTTTAATATAATATATGAAACAGTTTTTGTTATTGCTGAAATTGGAAGTGACAGAGTCTGAAGTTCTATATTAGTAATCTTGCTATCAGTTGCAAATTATAATTCCCCTAGTGCAGGGTTTGTTATGGGACATTCCCCTTAGCATTTTGGTGAGGTTCTGACAATCCCTGCAGCCATATAAAAACAAGTTTAAAGTTCTCATGGTTTCAGGCTTGAGTTTGAATATCAAATGGCAAGCACTGCAAAAGAATCAAAATGAATGCAGACAATTACAAACACTCATTCATTCTGCCTCCTCCCATCTCATATTTCTCATCTCATTTATTCCAAGGGTTGAAGCTAACATTTTCCAGCAAAGTGCACTAAATAACACTCCACCCAGACTCACTGGAGAAGATTCCACACTAGGGAAAGTCAAAGGCAGAAAAGGAAGACCAGCAATGATATGAATCACTTCCATAAAGGAAGCCACAGCCTTGAGTTTACAAGAGCAGGCTGTCAATATCAGGACATTTTGGAGGGCATTAATTCATAGTGTTGCCATATAAGTTGGAGAGGACTTGTCAGCACCTAACAACGTGCAATTTGCCACTGAACAGATTATAAAGTTATATGTCCATCCATACTGCATGAAGTTTAGGCACTTACGAGTAAAAAGCCACCACTCCACAATATATCTGTACTTGGTAGAAGAACAATACACCTGTTCTTGATACTGAGCAAGGTGCTGTAAACTCTGTGGAACTGGGCATTTTCTGAGGAAGGTTGTGGAGCAATATGTGCCTGTGGACTGACCCAGTATGAACAGGTAGGGGAAAGCAGCATTTGAGCTAGAAATACATTAATGGGAATATGAATGATCTAGTTCTTGCCATTGGGTTAAGATTTAACATGGCATATAGTGAAGTTAGTAGGATGTAGAATTAAGGACTTAAGGACCATAAGTCCTGCAGTCTTTCTCCAACAGTAGTCAGATAAATGTATTTCTAGAACCTTAAAAACAGTAGGTCCTAGAGACAATGGCTAGTCTCTTCAGAATTTGGTAATCAGACATTTATTTATTGTGAGCATGGGGGTTCAGAAAAGAAAAACCGCATAGGAAGTCACCTTATATGAGTCAGACCAGTAGTCTGTTGTCTACCTTAGCTAACAGTGGCTCTCAAGAATTTCAGAATTGCTATGGATTGGACTTCTGCATGGAGAGCATATGCTCTGGTGCTGCGCTTCAGCCCAGTTGCTATTCTAAAGCAAGACAAAGCATAGATCCAGCAATTTCAGTGACTTCCAGGTAAAATATTAATGGAAATATTGTCCTCTGAAGGGAAAAAGTTTTTTTTTCCTCCATGGCATAAGGACACCACAGCTGTAATTTGCCATAAACAAAGACTCTCTTGTTTCTGCCCTTCTGACTCCCAGATGTGCCTGCTTTTGGCCAAACTAGTTTCCAGCGTGAATTATGGTCTGGGAAATTAGGGTAGTATTCCGTGTTTTTTTATCTTCAGGATATACTCCTCTTTGGATGGAGCAGTCCAGTGAGACAGCTTTATATTGTTGCACTTGTCTGGGTCATTGTTAGCAGAACAAGTGTTACTGCAGAACAGATGTGGGACTCCAAAGTGTGACTGCTACTACTGTTGATCAGAGTTTAATGCAGTCTTTGTTGTACTAGGCACTTCAGCAATACTACAAGTAATACTACTATTATGAAGTGATTTTTCCCATGCTGTTCATGAAATCCAGAACAAAGAGGTGTCTGAAACCTGGGCATTCCATACTCCAAAGCTGTATCAGAGCATCAAGATTGCTGCCACGATTTAGCTCTTATTTTGCACGAACTTAGTAGTGTTTCACTGGGAGTGGCCCAGTGGCCAAGAGGAATTGGCTGAAAATGGGCAAACCAGTCTAGAAAGTTGGAAGTTCTTTGGTGAAGTGAATTTTGAGGAAGAAATATGCAGGGAAGAGTGCTTCAAAAATAGGAAGAGGTTGTTGCAGGCATAAACTAGAAGCCAGGCAGAAAGCGCAGAATTGGGAAACTGCATGTGAGGACCAATAGCAAATGAGCAGGCTTTTGTCTTACTCCAGGTTCTTGTACAAAATGTTGCTGGTCCTGCAGCCATATTTGAGAATCAGTAAATTAATATGAGGCTGAGATGTACCCAGCTCTGCTCTTCCAAAACTTTTGTCATGAATGCAAGGTTCAAATTTTATTCAGATTTGTAACTATTGATCTTTCTCAGCTAGTAATATAAGTGTTGCTGACTTTACCAATCCTCCTGTAGGCTGGCTACTCAGTGCAGAGGTGTGTCTATTACTATATTATGTTTATATCTTGCCTTTCTTCCTCTTGCAAGGAACTCAAGGCAGTTTACAAGATTCTCCTCCTCTTCATTTTATCCTCACAACAGCAACCCTGTGAGGTAAGGTTAGACTGAGAGGCATTGACTGGCCAAAAGTGACCCAGTTGGCTCCATGCCTGAGTAGGGAGTAGAACCCAGATCGCCTGAGTCCCAGCCCAGCATTCTAACTGCTGTGCCACACTGGCTGTCATTGAGAAATATCTTATGGCACTGTACATCTTGGGCTGTATCACCTTAAGCTGCAAGTAAAATACTGGGCGTTTGAACTTTCCCATTGCACATTCTGCTGCCCTTAGAATGGGAGCATCTTGAGAAGGCTAAACTTAGACCTCTTTTTTCAGAGTGCTGGGAAAGGTTTTCTGCATATAGGAAAACATTCAGACAAAAAGTTGTTCACCTGCAGTCTAAAATGCTGTAGACCATGATACTGCATCTGCTCTTAGTGCTTTGCACTTAAATAGCATCTGTTATAAATGTTGACTAATGGAACTGGGATAATGAAGAACCCAAACTTGACTGATGCTTGGCTTTCATGGGGGGTGGGAGTCCTTGTGGAAGGTGAGTGACAGGAGAAAGCCACCATAAGTAATGAATGATTAGTTCTTAGGACTACTAATGGCTGCATTTTTCTTGATAGACCAATGTATTGCTGATATTTGGCAGCCTCCTTGTTATGGCACTTTAGAGCTATTTCGGTCTGGATGTGCCCCACAACACTTAAGGCCACTGAAGTATTTCATTCTGTTCTGTGTCACATTTCCTGCTTTACAGGTTTGCTTTCTTGTTTTAAATCCGGCATA